AATCTTCATTTAGAGTTTGTTTCATTAGTTTTCGTTGCGCGAATCGTGTTCTACGTGAAATTTTGGTTAAGAAACATGTATCAGAATGCTTATATTCGTACCTCGTCTGGTGGTCCATTATTTTTATCAGTGCGTTTGAAGCTGTGGTAACGAGTTGATTATTAAAGTGCTCGTCGCGAGCACCGATCACTCTGTTTATCGATCCTCTTCCACAGGTTCAATTGGCAGATCAATCGACGTACATCGCAAAGCACGCCACGTCACTGAATATCACACTGAGAAAAAAATCTCGGTGTATTTACTGAGAAAAGGGTAAAATTACCAAGAATTGAAGGTTCTATTTGATCCCAGTTTTTTCTTGGTAAAATTACCATTTATGGGATTGGTAATTTTACCGAGAAATCTTGGTAAAATTATTGACTTTCTCGGAAATTTTTCTGGACCCCGGTAAAAATGCCAATACTTTTTATCGACTGTGGTAGAATTACCGAGATAAAATGGCAAAGTTACCGGGAATTGATTACCAATAAAAGAGGTATTCTTACCTGAAAAAAACAGTAAAAATACCGGTTTTTAGGTAAGCTAATCAGTCTGTCTTGGTAAAATTATCAATAATTGGTAAAAAAATGAGATGGTAAAGGTACCAACGGACCTTGGTAAAAACGCCGAGAATTTTTTTTCAGTGCATGTCCGACTGCTCCCACGGAGTCGTTCCACGGTGCAGCGCGGCAGCGGCACGATTGCGTCAACGGCGAGCAAGAAGCAAGATTTGTGCGCTTCTAATCGCTGCTAATTTGCTAATCTCCGATGACTCACAATCACAATCAGTCCAACAGTCCGCAGGGGGCGGAGATCAATCAGTCTAGATCAGTCCGTCCCTCCCCTATCCGTCACCCTTTACCCCGAGGCAGAACTAACTAGACTGCTCGTTGCGTTTCAATAACCTCTCGGATTTACGTACGAGTAACTTCACCTTCAGTGGGGCACTGATCTGATGACCTTTACTGCCGTGCTAAGGAAAAACGCCGTATGAACCCTCGGATGTTGCCAAATTTCCTTTGATAAAATACTGTTTTACTAGAAAAGTTGTGAGTATTTTTCTTCAAATTTTTCAGGCAATATTGTTCGCACTTAAATCTAAAATATCTGACAAAATCAAGGAAAAATATGCATGACTTACTTTCTAAATAAGCGTTTTATGAGAGGAAATTTGGCAACTCTCAAATATTCTTACGGCATTTTTTCTTAGCATGGCAGTTTAGGTGCTGCGAGATTGATCGTTCATCGGGGATCTGAAACGAAGCTGAAAGCGCTGGCATAACGCGTAGTTATAAAGGTCATTGAACTGCTCTCAGAGTGAGGGCCTTTCATTTTGTCTGTTCAATGGGTAAACTGATAAAAATATTTGTGTTGTTTTTGACTAATACACGAACTGAAACATAAACCAACACAAATTTTGTGTTGATCTTGGTACAGTTTGCGGTGAATTTCGCACAGAAAACAAAGGAGAAACTTGGATAATGCATTCCACCGATTGCGACGTTGATATTAACCGCTTGTTTTTTTTATTAAATTTCTTCAAGAAAACTAGCTGGCATTTTCTCTTAAAAGTGTCAACTGAAGGCTAGAGTTATTTTGTGTTTTATATCCTGTATTATAACCAAACTTTTGTGTTCAAATTTCTCTCTGTGTAGTTCATTTGCATAGGATTTTTTTATAATCATTTTTATAGAAATGGTACAAAGAGTCATGCTTATACACCGATAAAAATATTTGTGTTCTTGTGTTACCTTTAGTTAATATGGGAAGAGCAACACAAATCAACACAGCAGATGTCTCCTCTCTGAGTAGTCGTTTCTTAAAAAGCTCATTACCTTAAAAAGTCCCATGCGGTTCACTTTGTGCTTAAAGAGGTCTAAAGAGAACCTTGAAACAGCATCACCAAGAGGAGAATATTTACGGCGCTCAATTAAGATTCAATAGGGTAACCTTGGAAGAAAATTCTCGTAAGGAATTTACACGATTACCATCATCTCAAAAAATTTAACGTAAACGAGAGAAAACATTGCAGGTTTTGAAAATGTGAAGTTAGGTTCGTGAATTTTGTCGCAAAATCATACAAAATTTCTTCCCGTATTTTCTATTTTTTGCAGTGGCAAATCATTATTATCCCTTGTAGATTTCAATCTCTGAACTTATCTTTTGGAATTTGTCAAAAATTTCCCATTTCATGGTGATTATGGTGATCAAGCCTAAATGGTTTTATAGGCTCCATCATAGGATTTTACCACTAATTTGATACATTCAGAGTTTACACATTACTTGACACGTTTTGGAAAAGTCCTTGAAACTCACATGATCCCGGTGTTTATCACATGTGACGTGCACAATTTGATCGTACAGTTTGAAATAATCTTGAAACAACGGCCCGAGTGAGCATGCAAGGTTGAAAAACACAAGGGACTATTCGCAACACAAAAAGACTTAAACGCTGGAGTATAAAAATTGACAATTTGATCGTACAATTTGAAATAATTTTAGAACAACGGCTCGAGTGAGCATGCAAGATTGAAAAACACAAGAGACTATTCGCAACACAAAAAGACTTAAACGCTAGAGTATAAAAATTGACTACTCGATACTGTCAAAATTCAGGTGCGACGATGATTCCACCCGATACGTATGAACGCACTCACAGCTTAAACTGGACGTATTTCTGCCAAACGGAAATATTTGTATTGAGAAATGAGCCTTGAGATCCATAAGAATATATCCATAATAAGGCTCACGTCGTAATGCACACAGTTCCGTTTGGCAGAAATACGTCCAACTGTATCCGAGCGTGCCTTAATTTCCACTCATGATCAATTTTCAGAATGGAACAGGAGTTTGGGACCATACTCAGTTTTGCTCTACAAATATTAAAACTCAAGACTCACCCACACTTTGGTTCAATGGCACGCTCTGTTACCGTAAACGTACCTCATTCCAGCAACATATGCGTTGTTGCCGAATTTTACGATTATTAGATTCCTTTTCCAAAGGTGACCATTGTCGTTGGTTGTCTGAGGCTCAGCCTACAAGTATTATTGAGGTTGATCCCACTCATGCTAGATTGTTCTACGGGAAGTCTGCGAAATTCGCAGCCTCCTTAACCACGCCACCAGATGTCGCGCTTAAGTAATACGATTATTTTTCAAGATTTATCAGTAAACGTAGTCAAAGAGCTACCATTGCTTGATGTGAACTCTTCAGCAGCAAAAACTGGACCACATTCTGCAATTAGAAAGTATAATTTCAGGCTCGTCCATAAAAGCACCTGCCTGCATAGGGAAACTTTTGGCACGTATGGTGTCTCTAAATTGATACCAGAAACTGTAGTGCTTAATTGCAAAATGAAGGCCCAACTATAGTATTATAAAAGAAACGAAATTTGGATAACGTTACAGGGATAAAACAAAATTTAGTGGTTACTAGATTCCGAATGGACCTATTGCAAACTTCAATTAAAGCAAAAATATGAGTTATTTCTTGGATAAAATGGCTCAAAAATCAGGATGAGCAAAAGGGTTTAATGGAACGACTCCTCTTACGAAATGTTCATCTGTGCCATAGGATCGATTTTGAAGCGAGAAGCTCGAGAACCCCTGTTTCTTATGCAAATTGTGAAGTTAGGAGTGTATTTCAGACATTCTCGATGAGCTCATTCTGATTTTTGAGCCATTTTATCCAAGAAATAACTCATATTTTTGCTCTACCTGAAGTCTGCAACAAAGACAATCAAGTAATTTGAGGAAACGGGGTTTTCCTAATAGATTTGCATTTTCTCATTTTCAGCTTTTCCGACTGAAATCCTGAAAGTTGTGTTTGAGGTTATGTTCTATTGTTTCGAACCAAACGATACATCGAACCACTATCGAAAACGATATATGACACTCCACGTGACAACAACGGAGCAACGGGTTGGAGCAATTCGCATGTGCTTGATCCAATTCTCGCGACAGACAAGGCACGCGAATTCATCCCGAACGCAACACTCGCCGCTCCTGATCATTGTCTTCGGGAATTCTAATCACCCCGGACACACGTGGGAGTGTGAGGGACAGTCCGCCCCCTTTCTGACGTGAAAAGACGTATCTTAATTCTAACGCGATCCCCGGAAACCATAGAATTATAGGGAACAGAGGGCCACATGAGAATTAAGATACGCCTTTCAGTCATACGAGCCACGAATTTTGCAAGCACTCACTACTTAGAGGAGAGGCTAGGGCATGACGCTGCCTCACAACCCCCCCCCCCCCCCCCCCNTAACGCACTCCGCTTCCAGTTCCCTCCTCTCTTCTCCAACTGATAGTATAAAAACAATGGACCTTTAGAGTACAGGGTATGACCAGAGTCCCTATATACTGAGAGTAAAGACAATGCGAATCTATTATTGATTGGTTTCCGTATTTTAGGCCTTCACAGTGTCACAAACGGGAATAAAAATTACAGTTTCACCAATTGCAAAGATTATAAACTGAAATGGACCGGGACATTGGGGGTTAATTGGTTAATTTGGGTTATTTATGGGGGTTAATAATGGGGGTTATTAAAAAACCTAATAAACTCGGTCCCCATTCGACGATGAAACTGAAAAAAAGCAAATCTCAGTTTGCGACGCTCGCTGTGGACTTTCTGTCAATATTTAAATTTGAATGATTAAAGGCTCGACGTGATTTTTGGTAACTTCCTTGTTGTTTATCTCTTCGAGAAGAATATTCTGTGAACATATCACGTGTTGGATCGTTCTCCTTCTATAAAATAAAGTAGAAGCGGAGATTTCAAAATGCTGCAAACGAGATAAGAGTTTCTTTTAGTTTCACTATAGATACGTAAGGTATGTTTTGACTAGTATGCATGTATCCCTCGCACTTGTACCTGTAAATTTGTAAACCTGTACATTTGTAGACGCAACTTTCATAGACACTCATGGGCTCCTATGTTTTTGTGTTCAACAGAGGATGGAGAGTACATGTCTTTCGGACTATCCGGTGACGACAAAAAGAACAAGATGATCGGTGGTGATGTGGTAGTGGCGTGGATCAACCACGAAACACTGAGCGGCTTCGCTGTGGACTACTACCTCGATGATAAATCCCAGTGCTCTGGACCCCGCGGAAGCTGCCCGGACGATAAACTTCAGGTAAACTAAAAACTAGAATTTAACACAGTTATAGAGTAAATTGGATTGCATTTTGCAAAAAGGAACCACTAGCATTGCAATGATGCTAAGATTGTGCAACTTCATCTTTTGCACTAAAATTGCAAAAATCGTGAAAAACTATGAAATTTAGATGATAATTTTTGTCTTAAAGTTACAGTTTTTAGCGAGTAAAATAGAAACTATTAATGGATAATCGGGTTTTCCCTCCAAGACAAAAGAAGTTGCACAATCTTAGCAACATTGCAATGCTAGTGGTTCCTTTTTGCAAAATGCAATCCAATTAAATCGACTTGAGTCCATCGAAGCCAGTGCTCTCATTGCACGCCCGCCAAAAGTTCCGAGACTCGGAACTTTTTTGTTCCAATTCCTTTCACTCCAAGGCCGTCAAAAGTTCCGGGATTCTTTTCCGATCTTTTCAAAAGTTCCGAGAAAGTTCCGGAAAATGCAACGGATCCGGAATATTTCGAGAATTTCAAAAGTTCCGGGAAAAATTCAGGGAAATCTCGAAAGTTCCGAAATTCGGAACTGGCTCCGGGAAATGGGAGCAGTGATCGAAGCTTTCCTTGACCTGAGATTTACTAGATGATATAAAGATAGGTCTGCTTGGGATTAAGTACAGTACCATTACCAGTGTTATGCAAGTTGCTTCTGTACTAATTGAAGGGGCTTCTCTCATGAATAGTTATTTCAATGACAGTTTCAATAAGATTCAATTCTTCATTTCATTGCAAACTGCCTACCGATGGCTAGCGAACAATACTGCCTACCTGCAAACTGACGATTTTGCAGAACAAAGAGGTAATTTTGTCATTTTTGCAATTTTCAGGTTATAGATACTCTCGCTATATAGAGGTACTCTATAGATTTTAGTTATGAATTTTTCACAGAGTATACCTTCAAACTAGTTTTAGTCGAGTTTACGAATATCTCAACTTTTTCAAAAACTGCACTTATGCGCCTTGTCCTCGAAGCCCCTGATTTTAAAATTCCATTTCAGGAGGGAGCTGAGAGTGTGAGGTTACTGAACGCGGCGCTTGTGAATGGCTACTCAATCGTGACTTACCAACGACAACTGAAAGCGCACGATACGTATGACAAATCTATTTCAACGAACGGATCTCAGGCTGTCATCTGGGCGATCGGACCCCTCAACACACGCCAGGAGGTTTCTTATCACAGCATCTTCTCAAAAGGTAATCAAATTGACTATTTTTCCATGAGAAAATTGAGAATGGGCCTCTTGCAAACTTTTGCTGATGCCAAAATAGGAGTTGTTTTGATCAGTAAATGTCTCAAAAATCACGGTGATTTTTGGATGTCAAAATATATTTTTGTAAGTCGGTTCCAAAGCATTCCCTATTCATTACACCATCTCTTTTCAATCTCTCGGCCAAATGGACCTGTTGCAATTTTTTGCTAGAGCGAAAATAAGAGTTGTTTCTTATAGAAAATGTCTCAAAAATCACGATGAGCGCACGGAGAAAAATACCTCGTGCGTGGGACCCGAAGTTCAGGTCATATGAATCTCTGAAGTTTTCAGATTGATCATCTGAACACTTAAGGTCTAGCTTTCGAGGTTCGGATCACACATCTGAAACTTCGGTTCTCACATCTGAAGTAGTTTCAGATGTCTGACCTGAACTTCGGCAGCTAGACCCTAAGTGTTCAGATGCTCAATCCGAAAACTTCAGAGATCTATAAGACCTAAACTTCTGGTCCCACGCACGAAGTTGTTTTCTCCGTGCGCATCGACTAACTCTGAAATGCACTTCTAACTTCACAATCTGCGTAAGAAATTTGCGTTTTTTTGAGATCCCCGCTTCAAAAATGACACTACTGCACAGGTGAACATTTCGTTAGAGGAGTCGTTCCATGCAACCCTTTTGCAATAGCAACACCCAACTTAGCGGACACTTCCGCGCGCAAATCGCAATCGGGAGCACAAGGCCAACCGAAGCGGATCTTTATCAACGCGAAGAAATCGTGAATGTGAACACGCTGGATTAGAATCTCGTCCAGCCACATGTGTTTTGGCGAATTGAATCGGTGAGTTCGAAAACACATCAACTCGGAAAAAAAAATTGTTCAGGAAACACCTAAAACTGCGCAGCGGGCGAAGAAGTTAGTTTAAGAAAAACCTTTTTGGTGCCAAAGGACAAGTACTTAGAGACTTTGTAAAGCACTAAGTTGAAATCGATACACCATGTTTGATGACAGAGAATTAAGCGTTTAAACATTTCCGAGTATGTGTGTTTTCGTTCTCACCGACTTTCAGATGCTGATTTTTCATAGTCTGCCCTGAAAAATTTATATTTTTCTACCTGAATAACGCTTGAATATTTATATACCTTGTTGGTACAAGGTATACTGAACCGAAAAAAGAAAACCGCAAAATCGCATGGTCACCCGTTTCTCTTGAAATGGCCAAAAATTGGTATTTCCAATGAAATACTTCGATTTTTCCCTTTTCCCGTCGCTATTTCGAGCACTTCCATTTGCAATTTCGAAATTTCCTTTTGCGTGCAGATGCCTCTATCCATAAGTGTTACGAAACCGTAAAAAAGTTAAAATCGAAAAAAACCCGAGTTGGTGTGTTTACGAACTCACTGATTTAATTGACGTTGGCCATGTTGAATATTGAGGAACATCCTACTGAGCAGGGGTCGGATGGAACGATTCCTCTCTGTGCCGTGGTAAAGTTTCTGAAACGGGAAGCTCAAAAAAACGCGCATTTCTTCCGCAAATTGTGAAGTAAGGAAAACATTTCAGACTTTGCCAATGCGCTCATCGTGATTTTACAGACATTTTCTATGAGTAACAACTCTTATTTTTGCCCTAGCAAAAGTTTGCAACAGGTTCATTAGGCCCAGATATTGAAAAAAAGGTGGTGTAATGAATAGGAAATGCTTTAGAACCGACTTACAAAAATATCTTTTGACATCCGAAAATCACTCTGCGCAAGGAATTTAGACTAGCTTTCTGTCAGTGGTCTTTTTATTCTCAATTACCGGTCAAACTATGTAACACAACCGCATAATAAGTGCGACGACGACAAAATATTTTATGACTCCTTACATTATATTTCATCAGTTAATGGGCCCACCACTTACATAATGAGCTCGTTCAAACGGCATTTGCGTAGCGGCGAAATTTTTCATCGCGCACCGTGTGTAACACTGCATAACCGTGCCAGCTAAAGTTCCACTGTGAGCTGTAAGCTTACGCATAGTCCTGGTCCAATTCCAAGTGCCTGTCTCAGAACATTGCCAAGGTGTGCAAAGTTAAACATTGTTCGAACTTGTGATCCTCCACGTCCTTCCCCCGTTAATCGTCATTCAATTAGACGTATTAATACCAGGCACGTATATGGAGGAGGGGGAGCTTAGGGGCTCGAGCCCCCCCCCCCCCCCCNCGGGAAAGCAAAAAACGGAAAAGAATGAAGAAGAGAAGCGACAGAAAATAAGAAAATACGAAAAAATGGAAAGTTTGACCTTTCAAAATGTGTCCAAATAGAAATAAAATTTCAAAAATTGTCCAGATATATTGAATGCAATAATTTTAAGGTATTTTAGGCTGAAAGTAAAAAAGAGACGTAATTTTAATGCAGAAGTGTATGAAAAATCTGCGTCACAGAAGCCTAAAAATGCAACCAAATAGATTCAAAATTTCAAAAATTCGCCGGGGGTGGTCCCCCGGACCACCCTCTGAATCGAGAGTTATTCCATGCCCCCAAACTTTCTCCTTGGTTNTGGGGGGGGGGGGGGGGGAGAACTCCGCTCACCCGACCAAGCCCCCCCTCGAAAGAAAATCCAGGCTATGTGCCTGATCAATACTATGTTGATACTGCAAAGTCGCTGATTCATTTTTGTCAAAATTGTCAGTTAAGGCCTTGATACACGATAAAATTCTCGCACCGATTACCATCGAAAGTTCGGGAGTCATCAGTCTTAAAATCGGTGCTTCGCCTAGTTTTCAGATGAAAACCTGGCAGAAATGTTTCGTTCGTGTGGCAAGAAATGATGAATGGTGACACTCCATTTTGATCAAAATTTGTCGGCCCGTCCAATTTTGATCAAAGAGGACTGTTGCATGGTGACCATCAGTCATCAACTGCTACTTTGATCCGAATTGGTTCGGAATTTGATCGTGCATCGAGATCTTAAGGCGGTATTGTTTCTCAGCCCTCGATATCGAGCCCCCGTGCTAAGGAGAAACGCCGTATAAGCCTTCAGGCGTTGTCAAATTTGTCCAGGCAAATCACTAATTTTCAGAAAAATTTTGGAATACTTGTGTACCAATTTCTCAGATAATTTTGTTTGTAATTTGATCCAAAACTCCTGAAAATTTCAAGGAAAATTATTCATAATTTTCCTCAAAAATAAACATTTTATCGAGGAAAATTTGGCGTTCTTCCTTAGTACGGCGAAAGGAAAGAGTCACTGCAATGCTCGGTGGTGGCACGGTGGAGTGGTGGTTAAAGGACGACTACGACTACGATCATGAATCCTGAATCACCCTGTATTTGCCTGATTGCCGCTCGAAATTCCGACCCGATTCGCATATTTTTACGGGAAGACGCTAAGATTCGCTTCTCTTAAAAGCGCATCGACCAATAATCCAAGGAGCCCCAACGCGGTGGCGTTAATGCATTTCTAATTGCGCGCCACTCGTAATACCTGCACCCGAGGACGCTCACGGTGGCATTTTCGCCGCGCGGCCGAGTCAAAAGCCGCTCAACTCCGAATCCGGGCAGTGCGTACGCACGCGGTTATGACCGTGCGGTAAGCGCTCCGTAAGTGCCTCCGTAACTTTCTCCGCGGCTCGCGGGAAATGGTATTTCGGCATCGTCGGCCGGGCTCGAAATTTTTTCCGCGATCCTCGCCGCCGCCCCGCGGGCAGAGCCAGGCCGGTCCCCAGTGAAAGTCAAGGCTCGAGAATGTGTGAAATGCGACAGCTGTGAAAATTGCCCCCCCCCCCCCCNGTCGCAGGGGCCCCTGCGACAAACCAGTCAGCGCGGCGCGGTGACTGCTCGCGACGTTGTAACGAAGTTGCCCTTCTGCGGTAGAGTAGAGTCCCTTTATACTGAGAGTCAAGACAATGTGAATCCGTTTCTGATTGGTTCCCGTACACCCTGTAATCGATCCTTTTTCACAGGTTCAAATGGCAGATTGATCGATTTATCGAAAATCACGCCACGCTTCTGTTACCTCTAGAGTCCCTTTATACTGAGAGTCAAGACAATGTGAATCCGTTTCTGATTGGTTCCCGTATTTTAAGCCTTCGCAGTGTCACAAACGGGAATGAAGATTACATTTTCGCCGATTGCAAAGATTATAATCTGGGATGGACCAGGGAATTACGGGTTCGGCAAGGAACAAACGGAATGAGAGAAGGAACGGAGAAAGGAATTTGAGAATGGGCCGATCAAAGATTACGAAAAACGTTCAATTTCTGTAATCTTTATTCCCGTTTGTGACTCCATGAGGGGGTCTCAATATAAAGGGACTCTGCGGTAGAATACCCGTGCAGAGTGTCCCGGGATTAAGTGCGAATATTGAAGGAGTCGATTCTTTGGGTCAAAAAAAATACGTTTTTTAGTATATTGTTTTTCCAAAAACGCTTTCCCTGACAATGGTTATCGACCAATCTTAATGAAAATTAGTAAATGGGGGGGATTTTTAGCGTTTTTTTTCCATTTTTGATCTTTATAAAAGGGAAAACGCATTTTGAGGGGGGTTTAGGGGGGGGGNGGGGGGGGGGGGGGGGGGTATCGAACCTAATAATGGCCACAATTAATGTTCCCAGCGACAAAAATTGATTTTTGACGGCACCACTAGATTTTGCGATGAAAATATTGAGGAAATGTGTCTCAGTGGCCCAGGCTCGCTGATAATCGAGATGTCTTAACTCTGGGTGTAAAAGGACTCCGGGTACACCACACAGAGTCTGACACNAAAAAAAAAAAAAAAAAAAAAAAAAAAAAAAAAAAAAAAAAAAAAAAAAAAAAAAAAAAAATGCAGTTGCAAATTACCGAAATGATGACCATGTTTTACGTAAAATTTGCGCCGTTATTCATACCTCATCTGGTAACCGACACCAAACGCGCAGGAACCTGGCCAGAAGGAAAGTGAGAAGAGAGCCTTTCAGGCACGGTTTGGCGCCCTGTGAGGGACCCGACTACTGCCGTTCCAAGGAAGAACGCCGTATGAACATTCGAGAGTTGCCAAATTTCCCTCGATAAAATGCTAATTTTTGAGGCAAGTTATGAATATTTTTCCTTGAAAGCTTCAGGATCTTTAGGTGAAATTGCGAACAAAATTATATGAAAAATTGGAAGAAAAACATTCAAATGTTTACCAGGAAATTCGTGTTTTATCAAAGGATATTTGGCAACGCCTGAAGGTTCTTACGGCGTTATTCCTTACACGGCAGACTAGGCCGGACCTGTCCGTAACCCGCGGAGAAATGCTTTTGATTTTATGAATCGCGATCTTGACTTGTCGGCGGGTTCGGTACCTCAT